CTGTTGTGGTCTCAGCCATTCACAGAGGATGAATCACATTAATACAAGCCATCTCTGCGTTGCTCAACAGCGCAACAGAGGTCGACTGGTGGCATTTGAGTGCCCGAAACCTGGAAACCCGGGAGGCTTCAAAAGAAAGAGCTGATGTGATCTAATTACACACAGGGCACATTCAGGGAGGCATTGCAATATGAGGCGTTTATTGTATCAACAATGTTAAGGCAATCTATTTAGTCTTTTTGCCTCTTTTGCAATGGATCTTCAACTACAAAGGCTCATCTTCTTTCTCTCCAGCTGAAAGATCCGTTTCCCCGATGACATTTCTTTGAATATAAATACACGCACGCACATGAAACACACGTTGACGCAGCATAATAATAATACTTGCCAAATGCCTATTGAAGCTTCATATTGGATAAATTCCACTTTAAAATGTTGGAGTTCAGAATCTTGCAGCAAATGATCACTGATCTAATGAAGACTTACTCACTCACTATATTTAAAGCTTACTAAAAGTCACTGAAAGTCAATAATCCTCAATGCCAACACATAAAAAAGGATCTGTGTCTCAAACCTTAATATGAGTCAACACCTGTTAAATTAATCGTCGTTGAAATTACATTTTTACTATTTGCTGTGTTTATTGTTGAAGCTAAGGACATATCAGGGTAACTTACAATTTCTTTATTTAAAGCCTATCATGTATACTATTTTCGCCTCATCAAGTACACATGAATGTGTGCAAATCTGCCAGTTAGGGCTGTTTATTACGTACGTATATATATATATTTCTTTTTAATAATCTGTGACTGTACCTCAAGGTTTAAACAAAGTATAAAATATAAATCTAGATAAGAGGCCTGTAGTTGTTTTTGGATATGGTTGGCAGTAGTTGGAGGTCGCATGGTTCACATGTTTATTCAGTTGCTGCTCTGTTTTCTCAAAATCACACTGATCCAATTACATGTGCACATTACAATGAGAAATGTCTCCCTCTGCTGGTAAAGATACAACTCTGCATTTACTTATCAGTTCACATATTTAACTGGCTTATTCTGTTTGTGCTACCAATTCTGATTATTATAGTTTCCATTTCCTCATTGATGATTGTTATATCTGCACCTGATTTCTAATCTACTTACTCTTGGTCATATTTCCAAATCAAGCAGATACAGGGTGGCATTAAAAGACTTAGGTTGCAAAACGAGGTGAAATAAAACAATCTTTGGTTTCTAGTTCAGAGCCAACTGCCAGAAGCTCTTACCTTAAGTGTAACTCATTACTCGGTTAGATTCCCCTGTCACAGTTAACCAGATCATCCTACATTAAAGAAAATGAGAAGTGCAGCAATTATGGGAAAAAGAAAGAAAATGGGATCAAATTTGAAAGCCTTTTAGACATGGAGGAAAGCTTGGTTACTGTGGAATTTAACTGAAGGGGCTTTGTGGTCGGTATATAATAGGCAATATATCTGGATGATATTCGAGCTTTCAAACATTAATTGTTCATATATTATAATTGGTTTGCCATGCCAGCAGAAACCAATACAGGTTGATGGAATGTTTTTAAGGCAACATTCATCAGAAATGGATGCCATTCAATGCAGGTAAATGTTAAAAATATTAAAATAATGTATGATGAAACTTGCATGCTAGTTGTTAAGGATCACATTTTTGTACAATTTAAACGATTGGTATTTATATCTGCTGAATCAAAATTGTGACCATCAACATAATTAACAAAATGACTCTTTCCCCCGGGATCCTGTCTTTGTATGAATCCCTTTTTTTAATGTTTTTTTGTCAAATTAACTTTATCAAAATTATGTTTTCATTTATCAATGATTCGTTTTCAAGCACTTTTATGTGAAGCATGTTTTGTGAAATATCTTTTCTTTTCATCGCATCAGGCCAGCAGCTGCTAATGTTTTTCATTGCTTGGCTTTTTCCTGCAGTAAAATAGATAAATAAAGAAACATACACACCCACACACACACACAAACACAAACACAAACACGCACACCCTTCAACCCTAGACCACACATTCAGATGATGCCCACCATGTGTCCAGCCTGTAGTTAGCAGAGCAGAACCTCGGTAACGGTGTAAGAAGCCACTCCTCCTCAGTATGAGAGTGTTTCTATCATGCTGGCTCAGCCTCTTCTCTCTGTTCCCCCCGCTGCCAGAAAATGCAAACATGTCTGCCCTCCTCTTATCAGCCGAGTCATTGACAGTCAGAACACACACAGAACAACTCAGGCATCCGCACTAGGTCTAAAAACACAGAGCTTCTCTTAAAAAAAGCATTGAAAACATATTGTATAATAAAAAGGAATCAATATTAATACAAAATATATGAACAAAATGCAATTTTACATAAGAACATTGTAATATCTATCTGTGAAATCTAATATTCACACACTATTAGCTGTTTATGACTCCCCAAGCTCCTTAGAGAAACAGCAGAAACTCTTTACCTGCTAAATGTTTAACTATACTCACCAGCTGGTCACTAACTGTTGTTATGCAGTGTGACGCTGAGCAGGTTGTGAATACTGGTGGGTTTATAAAAGCTTCTTAGCTGAAACAACAGCTTTCTGCTTCTGAAAACAAAGTTGATGAGAGTGCTCAGGATCCTCTGCCATATTAAAGGAGCAGGCTTTAACACGAAAACAACGACCTTGAAAACACGGAAACACTCAGTCAGGTGATCATTTGTTATGCGTATATTACTGCAAGTGAGTTCTGTCACGTTAACCATAGTAAATTAATTACAATTTTAATGCAGCTTACAGTCGCTTTAAAGAAACATATTCGGCCTGTTTAAAAATGTGAACAGATATCCAATTCGGTTTAAATAGTTCCGTCTCAAAAACTTAAAAGATATACCTTCTTCTCACTTTGCTATGTAACTCTTTTCATCTTTTCCACTCTTATCTCTGTCCTCAGGCTTGCCCAGAAGCCTGGCCGCTGGTGTAGGCCTCCCAGTGAGAGACGCTGCTTCATGCTCTCTCTTTATTGAAGAATAAAGTCATTAATACAGCCTGGACAGCTAGCAACTCGTGAGTGGGTGTTCTTGTAACACAGCAAAGTTGTTTAGATCAGCTTATTATCCATGTCGTTTTAAGTTTCCCTTTTTGTACTTATGGAGGGAAATCGGTTAGTGACAAGATTTACATCCTAGGAAGCAAGAAGGATACCGGTGGGATAAAACAAGGAGAAATGTGTTTACCACACAGATATTGGTTATGTGGTTTGACAGGTAGAATTCATTAACTCCACAATCTAATGTGGTAAAGCCCTCCTAAAGCACGTGCTGTAATCCCTGTGGGACCCTTCATAACTCTCTCTGCTGTGCCTCACACACTCAGGGCCTGTAATAATCTCGAACTGTACTCTGCGAGCACATATTTCTTTCTCTCTCCATTTCTCAGCTTGTCTGCTTGCCTTTCCTCTGTCTGCTTCATTCACACAGTCACATCATCCGCGCTGCACTTTCACAGCCGCCGCTCTTGTCTTTATTCATTCTTTACACATTCTCACTCTGTTCTCCGTGCTGCTCTCTGACCCAAACAGCTGGCTGTGTAGGAGGTGCAGCTCCTTTCCTCCTCCACACATAAACACATCTTTGAGTCTCGGATCCTGGTAGACTGATCTCATCTGAGCAGGATCAGGTGGTGTTTCTGGTTCCTCTGTGTTTAATGCTGCCTGCTTAAGATGGTACGCCCGTAGGCATGTCCGACACCTCTCTGTTCCCCCTCTCAGTTGCCCTCTCCAGGGGGCTTTCGGTCAATCTTTCCACGTCGTTGCATATTGTACAGCGCTCGACCGTCTAAGCCCTCATCACATTGGTTAACCCCCCCACAGACTCTCAGCCCCCCAGGCAGCTCCAGGCCTTCACCATGACCACTGCCTCACAACTCATGACAAACACATGATGTGAGAATGGCCATGGCTCAGGTATTAACTGAGACACAATGTGAAAACAGAGAGACAAAAGGATAAAGGCGAGCTCTTTGCACTTTTTCTATTGCGTTGCGTTTTTTCCTCAATATCAGTCCTTCTATTTTAACACATCGAGTTCCACACAGTGAGGTAGATGTTGGATGCTATAATCTGTACCCTCCCCTCAACAACTGCTCTTAAAAAACACACACATAGAAACACTCTGTAAATACTGGTTAATGCGCTGCTGACCGGCAAAAGAGAAACAGCAGGGTGTGCTTTAGCTTCCTGATGCAGCGGCCTGAGTATTAGTATCATTCAGACAGACGCTTTATCAGGAGTGGACAGCCTTTTGTGTCAGATGCAGCTCAGCAGAATTTGATGACATTTACTTTCATGGTGATAATACAAATTGTTAGTGGAAAATCATGTGCTGCGGATTTGAAATACATGTTTTGAGTTTGAAAGTGAGCATACTTGTAAAGCATGGGGTCTGTTATGTGCTTGTGTAAAGACTGCCATGATGTTTTGCTGTATGGAAATGGAATGAACATCATTGAAGTTGCTTATTCTCTGGGGAATTAATTCTTAAAATGTAGTTGGTTTATTTAAAGAATATATACTGTATCTCTGTCGTAGCAACAGCTTGGTGTGCTTTAGCCACTTTCTTTTCCATGTTTCTTCGTCAATTCATCTTTTGATTAGAGAACAAATTGCTTCCCTACACGTACTCTCCCCCCTCTGTGGGGAGACGCAGGGGGGCTCCAGATCCCCGCTGGCACCCCTGAAGACTCTCTTCTTTTCTTCATTCTGGGTTTATCAAAGTAGAAGCTTCATCAAGAATCTGTACTGTATTCAGCCCTGTTCATATTACAGCACAGTCGTTTCTGCCTTTAGTGTGAGAGGATGTTAAGGCTTTAATTTTCTTGCATCGCTCAAGAGGCAGCAAGAATACTTAACTTTGAACCAAGATAAAGATGATAATATGTTGAAATTAGTTCTCTCTGTAATCGTTTGCCTTTCTTTGTCTCTTTCTCTCCTGCTGTCTCCCCACAGAGACCTTTGAGGCTCTGATTTGGCAGGCTGAGAATCACACCAATGTGGTTCTCCAGGCGTCGTACCGCAGCATGGCTGATCAGGCTGTTGGCCCGGTGCGGGAACTCTTCACAGACATCAGTCTCTTCCTGCTGGGGTCTGAGCTCAGCGTTGATGACTTGGTGCAGCGATTCTTTGACGCACTCTTCCCACTGGTCTACAATCACCTCATCAACCCTGGCCTCAGCGACATATCACCGAGCTACGCTGAGTGCGTGAGGTCGTCCAGGCGGGATGTGAGACCGTTTGCCGCGGCGCCCGGCCTCCTGGCTGATCAAATCGCTCGCTCTGGGGTGTCTGGGAAACTTCTGATTCAGGCACTGCACCTGGGCATTGAGGTCATAAATACAACAGACCACTTACAGCTGAGCCGCGAGTGCAGGCGGGCCCTGCTCAAGATGCACTACTGTCCTCACTGCCAGGTATGGATGCAGATCTCTGAAGCCAAGTACATTGATCTGAATTGATGAAAGTCTTTTTCAGCATTACTGATCACAAAGTAATTTGCTCCACAGGGCTTAACCCAGTCCAAGCCCTGCATGGGTTACTGCCTCAACGTGATGCGAGGCTGTTTGGCAAGCATGGCAGAGATCGACAGCCACTGGAGAGAGTTCGTCCACTCGCTGGAGGGCCTGTCAGCACGGATGCAAGGGCCTCAGGATTTGGAGCAAGTGCTTCTGGGAGTTCACACGCTGCTTCATGATGCTGTCGGACATGCCCAGAAAAATGGGCCTCGCCTCTCTGCACAGGTCAGATCTTCTTTAAGGAGAGATTAAGCACTGTTTAAGATGGTAGACTCAAAGCTGTACTAGGGCTCTGTGGGAGCACATAGGAACCACCAGTCAAGTGGACAAGAACAGATAAAGTACAGGGTATTTTTGTTAATATTGGAGTATTTTTACTTTGAATTTCAAGGCTATTCCAGCTGCCAGCTCCATACTAAATGATTTGAGGTGTGGAGACCAAAGATAAATTGCACAAGTCACACACAACAATTTAGTCAGACCGGAGCAGGCCAAAATATGTCCAGAAATACGTCCCCAAGGCGCTCAGAATTGTTGTAGTTAGACTGTCAGACAGGGGAGGATTCAGTGTCAACAGCCACTCTTCAGTTTGGGCCAATGAGTGTAAACCTAAGGAGTCTTTATTCTTGACACAAGTGATCGATCAAAGCCTAACCATAAAGTATTTATTTATGTACTAAATGTAACTTTCTGTTTACATGTATGTTGCTTGTTTAGTGAATGCCTCAGGATGGTTGTCCCTGAACCACACTAACATTCCTGTTCTGATGAAGACCCCACATCTCCATCTAGTGGCTGTCTGGTGTCTCTGCTGCTTGACAAGATTCACATGAAATACATTTAGAAATTTGAGATGATAGGCTTGGCTGCACTAATGGCCTTGGTATAAACAGCTGTCATTCCAGCATCTGTAATGAGGCCTATTCGTCATGCACCAGTACAATTTTCCAAGACTTAAAATGCAGGGTTCTCCCTCAGTGTTTAGGCCTAAATCTGTGCCTGTCTCTTCGGGTAATAGGTGCACAGACTGTGTGGCACACCGAGCAGAAGGCCTGCACAGTCAGTCAGCCTCCAGCACAGCAGCCGGGACTCCATCCCTCTTAAAGCTGCTCTCAGTGGATCCGGGGACTCGCTGGCTGTGAGGAGGAGGTACGTGGGTTAAAGAATGAAGCGTCATTTTGTGATATTAGAACGTAAGCCTACTATAAGTAACCCCCCCCCCCCCCACACTTTTTCAGGGACTTTCTAAACAGCTTACGCCTCTACCGTACGTTCTACGGTGGCCTGGCCGATCAGCTGTGTGTGAGTGAGCTGGCCTCCGGTGACGGGCAGGCCTGTTGGAATGGAACCGACATCGTAAAAAGGTGTGTGTGTTTTAAAGAAGTCAAGGGGTCACTTAAGTCATGTGGATGTTTGACATTCACTGTGACACAAAGAAGGCTGTTTTTACCTTCCTCTGCTGAGGGGGAAATAGTCTCTAAGCTCACATTACATAGGTATATTCGTCAAAACTTGTTTGGGAGTCCTGATCCAATACACTGAGAATGGACTTTTCAGTAATGTCAAAGATTATTTAGGTTTTTATTTTTTTAAGTAAGCTTTTCTTTTACATGAATAATTCTCATTTTGTAGATTTAAAAGAAAATGTGTGAGGTAATATTGTGCAATTGTGCATCTCTTTTTTGTAAATGTGATGTCTTGTTTAAATGAAGGGAAGTATGTTTGAATGACAGAAAGACATCACTCTAACCAGCGATGAATTTAAGTTAATGCTACCTTTGTAATACAGTATATGGTAAATATTGGTAATGGCAGGCAGAAATCGTATATCACCTACCACCATGGCAGAAGGGGTTTCCATATATTAAGACATATTATTTTTATTTTCCTATAAATGATTGAGGTTACATGACACCCATTTCTGCATTCGGCAACACTGACTTTTTACCATTTTAAAGCCTTTAAAATGGAAAAAGACGTCGGGATATGCAAGTGACCTGCCGCACTGGCAGATATATGAAAAATCAGACCCTGACTCAACAGATAAACATCCAACAACTATACATATCGGGTTTTAAAGGGCTTTCCTTTGAAGGGTTTCAGCTCCAGAGACATATCCCTGTATGATCCTGGAGCAAAGGCTGTTTGCACACCATTTGTCCCTGATCTAATGCGCATACACACACCCTTCACATACACAGTGCCCTCAGGAACCGGATGACACCGATGTAGGATTCATCTATTAACCGTTAGTGCTCTCAGACATAGATCTTGGATATGAATGGTTGTGAACTGGAGCAGACAAACTGGTCTCTTTGGTAGTATCAGTCAGCGGCCTTGTCTCCATTACATCACGACTCTCCATCCTACCCATGCTGTCATCACTCAAGGACCCCCTCATATATCCGCAGTCTGTGGCGTTTCCTCTTAACTGTCAGCCGCTTTCAGCGCTGTAGAAATGGCGAGTGGACCCGTATTTCAAACGACAGCAAGGTGGAAGTTGCCAGTTCAGGTTAGATGGCCCATTGTAAAGGATGACAGCCTTGTTGAGATCGTTTCACAGCGGCTGTGTGAAGGTATAAAAAAGGAGGGAGGACCGGGGGAAGAAAGTCTTTCACAGCCTTCATAGCAACCAGAGACACTGTGAAGTATGTGAGAGGCTGCTCTTCAAAAATTGGATTACTATGGAAACGGAGTATCAAGGTAAAGTTTAATTCTGCCGTTGACAATATACACTTTTTATCTTTTGTTATTTTCCAACATAACACCTCAAGTTTCCATTACAAAGCAGGCAGCCATCTCTGAGAATAGAGATGTTTCTTATGTGCTGGCGAGAGAGGCAGGCCAGCAGGCTGCCGACTGTCTGTCATCTCTGCAAGCCGCCTCCGGGAAAAATGTTTATGGTCTGTGCGGGCTCCTCTCAGCTCTCCTAACCTGCCTTCCTCTTTTTCTCATTCACTCTTATTTTATAAGGACTGGCTCACCAGGTTCACCCATAGGTTCTCATTTTGATTAGCTCATTATAAAAAAAAAACAGATGAAGAAAGCTATGGGGAATTGTGAGACATTAAGAAACTGGGGAGACGAGGCTCTGAGGAGGCTATCGAGCTGCGGCCCCGCAGCTTAGCAGGCTTCCTGCAGATCTACAACCCGGTTCTGCTTTCTATTAGCCTAGAACCATAGATGAGTGGCTGGGAGTCAACACAGGCTGAGACAAAAGCAATAAATAACCTCCTGCCTACGGGTCATAACCCAACATCCACTGAGAGAGAGGGAATAAAACTCACTGCCGGATGGTGGCTGATTTACAGAAGCTTATCGAGGCCTCTGAGACTTTAAACGATTGGTTCAGTGTGTGTTTGTGCTTGTGTGTGTGAGAAACTGTACATTTGAATGTGTGTGGAAGACAACGGCTCTTTGTGTGTGCTGCCGCTGATTGTTTTATGGTCTGAAAGTAGTGAGTTGCACCAGAGCATTGTCTTATTTAACAAAGAAAAAAGACAGGCACAAAAAAAACATGGCACAGGAGTCGGAGATTGAAGGGAGATTTAATGCACATTCTAATCTGGGTTCCTGGTAAACAAAAAGATAAAGAACAATCAGATAAGATCAGAGAGGAAGAACACAAGCTGCTTTCATCTCAATGTCTGTGTGAGTGTGGAAGATGGGGTCTCGCTTCAGGGGACATTTGGTAAACACATTCTTTCTCTCAGTCTCTCTCTCTGGCGTGTCCCTCGCTATGACATTCAGAATGGGAGGAACAAAAGTAGGACATTATATTTTCTGATTAGTATTATGGCTTATTAACAGTTTTCTCTTCTTTTGTGACAGTCAATGATCCCACACTGAGTCTCTGCATTGAATTGAAACTGGAGAGGTGTTATATTATGTTCACAGTAACAATGTGAATGATGCAGAACACAATTATCAAATTTGCAAGGACCTGGATATCACACCTCTGTATACTATTGTGTTAACATCAGAACTGTCTGTACCAGAGGTCGGTATCTAATGCCTTGTCACATTTATTCTTACCTTTTTTAATAATATCTATTTGGTCATTTCATGCCAAATTGGTGTCGTGTTAGCTAGCAGAGTTGTAGTATAGTTTGTGTTCAGACAAGCATTTCGATAATATAACTTTGGTCTTATAAAAACCGGCAAAAAACTTGGACACTTGGGGTCACTGTAAACACAATGATGGACAATTATCACTTTCTGAAGCACTAAGAGTTGCAGACTTAGACATCCACCAGATAGTAAGCAGATATAGAGGAAGCTTTAATAGCTTTAATTTGGAGTGGAGTTTGTGTCTACCTGATGACTATTTGTCAAATCTTAACTCTATTTGTCTAAATGTTTGGTCCCAACAAAACCCTTAGAGAAATTACTGGGTCTCTACTAGGTTCCCTGGCTATCAACAATTGATGCTGAGCAGGTAGTATTCAAATGTTTGTTGTTATTAAGCATTTTACTGAAAACGGCAATAAGAGCTTTGAGAGTGAAACACTGATGTTTAGAGATATAAAAATGAACTCGGATGCTAAAAGTCTCCTGAGCTGAGGGGAGCTGCAGAAGTGGGTGATATTTCTCTGTGTTCATCACTAAAAGCGGCCTCTTTGAAATACAAGTACTCGTGTTATACCTTGGAGGGTTTGTTTTGCTCTTGTGTTAGACACTTCAAGACTGATTAAAAAGTTGTAGTGATTCATGTCACTGGACCGCCAAGAGACAAAACAAAGTAAAACAGTGAAACATCCCTCAAACTGGATCAATCTGGAAGTGACGGTGATCTTTCTCGGTTGGAGGCGCGGCCCTGTCTCTGCAGAAAGGTTAACAACATTCCCACATGCTTTCTCCATCCGTCATGGACACACACACACACACACACACACACACACACACACACACACACACACACACACACACACACACACACACACACACACACACACACACACACACACACACACACACACACACACACACACACACACACACACACAGAGAAGGGTTGCCAGGTTGTCTTTGCTCTCTATCGAAGTAACAGACTGACACAGACACACTTTTATGAGATGAGGGATTGCAGGGATCCTCATTCCTCATCAGTTTCGACACATTCACCTTCTATTTCAGTTTGACACTTGAATTTAAAAAGTGTATGTGCTATACTTATGGGCTGCGCTAAGAAATGTTTGTAACTATATTATTTTCTCCCTGATAATGAGCTGCAACCACCAGAGTTACAGCAGTGCTAAAAAGCTGTGGCCTTACTGTATATGTGTGTGATGTGTTATTCATGATTCCCTCCTCCGGCGCAGACTCACTTTAATTCATCCCCACCTGCAGTCTGTCTCACAGCTGCCAACGCGCATCAGGTGTTTGGCGGTGCGTTTATGTTTTCGAACGAGCCTTTTTCTAATTGAGTATAGAGGTTTTTATTTTTATTTTAACGGTAACAATTGGAGGGATGAGTAATGTGGGATAAATGCTACAGTATGTATTGCAAATATGCTTGAAGGCAGGTGGGCAGAATTAAGCGTGGCCTTCTGTTTAATAGGCCACCCTTCATGCTGGAGTAGATGTCTGAGCGCCGACCTTTAACCTTTCTCTCTCTGTCTTTGCCCGGTTAATCCTGCAGAGGTTAATCACATGGTAATAAGAGTCCTGGAGTTCAGACCTCTCCTCAATGAGGGGCCAGTCAGGAGAGGACAGGGGTGATTCTGTAAATGTAGGTCTATGCTGCTCTCTTTCATATATTTTTTACTTTTCCTGATACGCCTCTTCCATCATTAGTCTCATTTCCGCACTCCCCCACTAGACGTGAAGCTCAGGTGATTTGCCTTGGCTTAACTGAAATGACAGCTTTTAAGCTCTGCTAATAGGAATCTACTGAGGAAGCATCAAGAGCTTAGGTTATCCCAGGCTGCACGGGAACATGCTTCCTCATCTGAGGGCTGTCTGGCCTCACTGCTGCAAAAGCCACACAATGTGCCCATCAGGGGACAGTGTGTTGAATAATAAAATATATAACATTAAAACAGAGCAATAACCATTTGTGCCACCTTCCCACAAGTTGGTAAATGAGCTCTTTTGTTAATGTATTAGTGGTTGTTAATATATTATATTATATAATATTTTTTACAACTCCTCTTCCAAATATGAAATACCTTTTATTGAAGTTATCTGAGAAAACTGCAATTATTTAAAAAAAAGAATACTATCTAACCAAGTCCAAAATCAACAATATACAGTAATTGATGATACATAGGCCATATACAATTAAAACATGACATTTTTCCTAAATTGCTTTGTTTGTTTCTAGCAATTTGGTAGAGGAACACGCCACTTTGACGGTTTCAAC